ATTGGGTGCGGGTGGTGACGCATGCGGGCGGTGCCACTGGGGCCTTCGGTGGAGCTCCCTATGGGGCCACGAAACCTGTTGTTGTGAGGGGCGTGCCGGGATGGGTGGCGGGGACGCATGTGAGCGCGGCCGCTGGGGCCTTCGGTGGAGCTCCCTATGGGGCCACGAAACGTGTGAGGGGTGTGCCGAATTGGGTGGGTGTGGGTGACGCATGTGAGCGCCGCCACTGGGGCCTCCGGTGGATGATGGGGCCACGAAGCCTGTCAGGGATGTGCCGAAATGGGTGCGCGGGACGCATGCGCATGTGAGCGCCGCCACTGAGGCCTTCGGTGGAGCTCCCTATGGGGCCACGAAACGTGTGAGGGGTGTGCCGAATTGGGTGTGCGTGACGCATGCGGGCGGCAGCACTGGTGCCTTCGGTGGAGCTCCCTATGGGGCCACGAAACGCGTGAGGGGTGTGCCGAATTGGGTGTGCGGGACGCATGCGGGCGGCAGCACTGGGGCCTTCTGTGGGGCTCCCTATGGGGCCACGAAACGTGTGAGGGGTGTGCCGAATTGGGTGTGCGGGACGCATGCGGGCGGCAGCACTGGGGCCTTCGGTGGGGCTCCCTATGGGGCCACGAAACGTGTGAGGGGTGTGCCGAATTGGGTGTGGGTGACGCATGCGGGCGGCAGCACTGGGGCCTTCGGCGGAGCTTCTACTGTGGGGCCACGAAACGCGTAAGGGGTGTGCCGAATTGTGTGTGGGTGACGCATGCAGGCGGCAGCAATGGGGCCTTCGGCGGAGCTCTTATGGGGCCACGAAACGTGTGAGGGGTTGTGCCGGAATTGGATGTGGGTGTCGCATGCGGGCGGCAGCACTGGGGCCTTCGGTGGAGCTCCCTATGGAGCCACTATGTGAGGGGTGTGCCGACGCAAAGCGGAGCCACGAAACGTGTGAGGGGTGTGCCGAAATGGGTGTGGGGGACGCATGCGGCCGCGGGCACTGGGGCCTTCGGTGGAGCTCCCTATGGAGCCACGAAACGTGTGAGGGGTGTGCCGAAATGGGTGTGGGGGACGCATGCGGCCGCGGGCACTGGGGCCTTCGGTGGAGCTCCCTATGGAGCCACGAAACGTGTGAGGGGTGTGCCGAAATGGGTGTGGGGGACGCATGCGGCCGCGGGCACTGGGGCCTTCGGTGGAGCTCCCTATGGAGCCACGAAACGTGTGAGGGGTGTGCCGAAATGGGTGTGGGTGACGCATGCGGGCGCGGGCACTGGGGCCTTCGGTGAGCTCCCTATGGAGCCACGAAACCTTGGGGCCTCGGTCCCTATGAGTCACGAAACGTGGAGGGGTGTGCCGTGACGCATGCGGGCGCGGGCACTGGGGCCTTCGGTGGAGCTCCCTATGGAGCCACGAAGCGTGTGAGGGGTGTGCCGAAATGGGTGTGGGTGACGCATGCGGGCGCGGGCACTGGGGCCTTCGGTGGAGCTCCCTATGGAGCCACGAAACGTGTGAGGGGTGTGCCGAAATGGGTGTGGGTGACGCATGCGGGCGCGGGCACTGGGGCCTTCGGTGGAGCTCCCTATGGAGCCACGAAACGTGTGAGGGGTGTGCCGAAATGGGTGTGGGTGACGCATGCGGGCGCGGGCACTGGGGCCGCGGGCACTGGGGCCTTCGGTGGAGCTCCCCTATGGAGCCACGAAACGTGTGAGGGGTGTGCCGAAATGGGTGTGGGTGACGCATGCGGCGCGGGCACTGGGGCCTTCGGTGGAGCTCCCTATGGAGCCACGAAACGTGTGAGGGGTGTGCCGAAATGGGTGTGGGTGACGCATGCGGGCGCGGGCACTGGGGCCTTCGGTGGAGCTCCCTATGGAGCCACGAAACGTGTGAGGGGTGTGCCGAAATGGGTGTGGGTGACGCATGCGGGCGCGGGCATTGGGGCCTTCGGTGGAGCTCCCTATGGAGCCACGAAACGTGTGAGGGGTGTGCCGAAATGGGTGTGGGTGACGCATGCGGGCGCGGGCACTGGGGCCTTCGGTGGAGCTCCCTATGGAGCCACGAAACGTGTGAGGGGTGTGCCGAAATGGGTGTGGGTGACGCATGCGGGCGCGGGCACTGGGGCCTTCGGTGGAGCTCCCTATGGAGCCACGAAACGTGTGAGGGGTGTGCCGAAATGGGTGTGGGTGACGCATGCGGGCGCGGGCACTGGGGCCTTCGGTGGAGCTCCCTATGGAGCCACGAAACGTGTGAGGGGTGTGCCGAATTGGGTGTGGGTGACGCATGCGGGCGCGGGCACTGGGGCCTTCGGTGGAGCTCCCTATGGGGCCACGAAACGGTGTACTGGGTGGGTGAAGAGGAGAGGAGGAGAGGAGAGGAGGAGAGGAGAGCAGAGGAGAGAAGAGGAGAGGAGAGGAGAGGAGAGGAATGATGATGATAATGATGATGATGATGATGATGATGATGATGATGATGATGATGATGATGATGATGATGATGATGATGATGATGATGATGATGATGATGGCAGGAGGGAGGGGGCAGCGGGAGGAGGAGTGAACGCGGGGCGCTGTCTCTTCAAAACGAGGACCCAACACCACAGGATGGTTGGGAAAAATGGGAAACATGGGAAGTGGAGGGGAAGACGAACATCCAGAACATGTGGAACCTGTGGGGAATCCTGGGATTTGTGCCTATACATTGATGTGTCCCCGGGCCCCTTCAGTCAAGGCCCTCAGGAGGGGGTCTGGTCTCCTGGCCGCTCCTCAGCTCCAGGTTGGGGGACCTCTTCGTAGCCGAGGCGCGCCGTGGCCTGCAGATGACTGCACTGCAGTGGTTCACCCTCCATCTCCACCTTCTTGTCCGCCTGCTTCCCTTGCTCCTGCTCCTCTTCGCCCCGCCTCCCTTCTCGACCTGGTCGGCGCCCTGTTCCTCCTCCTCCTCCCCCCCAGCGATCGCAATGCCCACTCGTGCCAGAAGCACCCTTGCGAAGGACCCAACCAGATGCACCTGCGAGCATCGCGGCGCAGATTAAAGGTAAAAGGTCTGCGGCGTGGGCGGGGGGGGGGACGAGCGGGCCGCCCGGCCGCCCAAAGGAGTCCCGGCGACGCGCGCGGGTCGTCCGCGGCACGGAGCAGTACAACAAGTGGTGGGCGATAACGGGCGAGGCGTTGGGCAGAGCGCGTTGGGCACGGAGGCAGAGCGCAGGGGAGTCCCCGCGACGCGCGCTGGTCGGCCCGAGCGGATTCCAGCGACGCGCGCGGGTCGTTCGCGGCGCGAAACCAAACAATTGGACAATCGGCAGAAAGCGAAGTTGGGGCGGGCCATAACGCAGCCACGAAAAGCGTGAGGGTGTGTCAAAACGGCCGAGGAGCCGCATGTGAACCTCGCCACTCAGGCCTTCAGTGGAGCTCCCTATGGGGCCACGATGCGTGCGACGGCTGTGCCGACATAAACATGCGGTCAGCGGGGAGCCGCATGTGGACCCTGCCAGTGGGGCCTTCGGCTGAGTTCCCGATAGTGCCACGAAGCGCGTGCGAGGGGTGTGCCGAAGTGGACATGCGGTGGGCGGGGAAGCGTATGTGGACCCGGCCACTGGGGCCTTCGGTGGAGCTCCCCACGGGGCCACAAAGCACGCGAAGGGTGGACATGCGGTGGGCGGAGAGCCGCACGTGGACCCTGCCAGTGGGGCCTTCGGTTGGGCTCCCAATAGTGCCACGCAGCGTGTGATCGGCGCGCCCGAAGGGACATGCGGTGGGCGAGGGGCCGCATGTGGACTCTGCCATTAAGGCCTCCGGTGGAGCTCCCTATAAGGCCACGAGCCGTGTCAGGGGTGTGCCGACATTGACATGCGCTGCATGTGGCCCCCGTCGCTTGCCCCCCATGTAGCCACGAACCGTGTCAGGGGTGTGCCGAAACAGACATGCGATAAACGAGGGACCACATGTGGACCCTGCCTTTGGGGCCTTCGGCGGAGTTCCTTATGGGACCACGAACCGCGTGAAGGGTGTGCCGACATGGACATGCGGCGGGCGGGGAGCCGCATGTGGACCATGCAATTAGGACCTTCGCTGGAGTTCCTGATGGGGCCACGAAGCGCGTGAAGGGTGTGCTGACATGGACATGCGGACCCTGCCAGTGGGGCCTTCGGTGGAAACCCCCTTGATGCCAAGAAGCGTGCGACGGGCGCACCGACATGGACATGCGGTGGGCGGGAAGCCGCATGTGGACCATGTCATTGGAGCCTTCGGTGGAACTCCCCATGGGGCCGCGAAGCGTTTGAGACGTGTGCCGAAACCGGAAGGAGTGTAACGAAACAGGAATCCGCGCGCACATTTCCATTGATTGATCGGCAACGTTGTTTGGCATCAGCTGCATTTATGCGAGTGCTCGGATATAGGATTATCTGGATGACTACCAGCCAATTTCGCCGCTTTGGAAATACGCAAAATCACTTTGGCAGCAGCTCGATGGGCCGTCTCCCGTCTGTGCCACCCTGGTTCCCGCTCGCGGAGGAAACGGTGGAATGTAAAAGGTATGGTGTCAAGAAGATGTAAGATATCGAAAGGTGGAAAGAGCGGCGGACGCATTCGCTCCGCTCCGCAAGATTTGGCCCGCTGGGATGCTGCTGCCCGCTCCAATGCCGAATCCTTCCTCCTTCTCCCCGTACCAAGCGTGCTGATTTGCTGCACCGTGGAACAACTCTACAACATCAGGGAGGACATGCGGGGACGGCGCCTGCAACACAGAAGCCTGGTAGAACTTCGTTTCCCCCGGTGCCCGGACTGATTGAACCCCCATGGCGCGCTCGAGCGCATGATTGCTTCTCCTCCTCCTCCTCCTCCGCCTCCTCCTCCTCTTCCGCCTGCTTCTCTTCCTCCGAAGCCAGTTTGGCTGAAGTACCCGCTCCCGAGGCCCCGCGCGCGCCCGCGCTGGCGGCCGCGCCTTCGCCGCCAGGTTGGCAGAGCTGCTGCCCGTTTCGCGCCGCGGTCCCAGAACAGCCCAGCGCGGCGCCGGTGCCGATGAGCGCCGCCGCGGGGTGGCAAGACGGGCACAAAAGCAATGGGGCGAGCCACGAGGCGGCAAGCTTGGCGCACGAGCACCTCCTGCTGCTGACCGACCGCATGGCGGTGGAGGTCGAGGAGCAGAGGAGGATAACCAGCCAGATGATGGACGAGAAGCTCCGCGCCATCACGGAGGAGGTGCAGGAGAGGCTCCGAAGGATGAATGACGAGATGCAGGCTCAGATGGAGATGAGGCTGGAAAGCCAGCGGGAGGCGACGCAGGATCTGCTCAGCAAGAGCGGCGAGAGCACCCAGCTTCTCGTGCAGAGCCACCGCATGGGCATCGAGGACAGGCTGATGGCGCAGCAAAAATGCTTCGAGGAGCGACTCGCGACGCTGACGCTGAGCTCGTCATCGCAGCCGGAGCAGGAGCTGGAGCTCCTGACCCCGCGGACCCAGCAGGATGAGGAGGAGGAGCGGCCCGAGTCCATGACCGAGGAAGCCGCGCAGCGCCTGGAAGCCTTCCAGCTGCTGGAGTGGCGCGTGGGCGAGCTGCTCAGGCGTGAGAGGGCCGCCTTGCGGAACGCGACGTCCTCCCTGGTGCTGGCGCTGGAGCAGGACCGCGTGGACAGAGAGGCCCTGGAGAGCCGGCTGGAGCAGACGGCAGAGGCCTGCCAGAAGGCGGCCTATGACGCGCGCTCCGCCATGGACCTCGGCCTCGCGGACCACGCCTCGATGGTGCGGGCGCTGCGCGAGGAGCTCAGCCAGCGGGGCGTCACTGGGCTTCCGCAGCAGCGCGCGTGGCTGCCTGCCGGGGGCGGTCGCGTCGGCAGGGGCGCGGGCGGTGAGGACGGGCGCGCGCGCTCTGACGCCGACGGGCTCCACACGAGCGCCAGGTCCCCTCCGGCGTCCACGTGGCGACGGGCGTCCGCGTCCCCAAGGTCGGAGGACCGCGTGATTAGGGTCTGAGGTCTGAGGGCTCGGGGGGGCCGCGAGCGGGGATGCCTCATCCGCGGCCATGGGTGCGCCGGGGCGGCGTGCTCTGCGGCCGTGGTCGTGAGGGCCACGCGTTTTCCAGAACCTTGTGCGTCTTGCCGTCACCGTCTCATTCTGCCGCACCCAAGCGCGGACGTGCACCTTCGGCGACTCCTGACGAGGCGCCTTCTGGTAATTAGTTCAGCAAACGCATTGGGCACCGTGCTTCTGGAGGACAGCACTTGTGGGCTTCTCATGAAAGGGTTGAGGTCTGGCTCCAGCCTTCAGGGGGTCCACTCGGGTGCAGGGAGGCCCACGGTTGACTTCAGCACGCTGGAGGAGAACATGTTTGTTACGCGTTAGTCTCGGAAAGGGGGACCACCGACGCAATTACAGGTGTTGAGTGATGTCCGCAAGTTGTGTCTCGACTCAAACCCAGTGCGAGCAATGCCTTACGTGCAATGATATTACGTATTCTGTCGCGGATCGTACACCAGCTCCCTCTCTTTGTCCTTTCCTCTCCCTCCTCCTCCTCCTCCTCCTGCGTGGCCCTGGCATATGGTTCTGCGCGTCTCGTGGTACGTATGGGGTCAGCATTTGTTGGAGTTGGGTAAGGGATGCCCCACTGTGGCCACACCCACCCAAGCAGGTCTGCCTGGACCGAATTCGGCGGAATCTTCTCCCCAAGGCTCTCAGTACGGCCGAGCTTTCGAGGGAGGGCCCCATAAAAGGGGCCTTCGCGAGTCTGGCTTCCGCCTTCGCCCGGGACTCCGGACTCCGGACTCCTCCTCCTGCGTGCGCCCACGCCCACGCGGGCGGTTCCTCCTCCTCCTCAATATTTTTCCGTCTAGATAATACCTCCCTGTCGCACCCGGACGCACCCCGAGGCCGATCGAAAGGGCGGGCCGGGCGTTGCGCCTGAGACTGCCTCACCACGTGTGACCCGGGTGGTGTTCAACATGTCGCTCTCGCCTTGGCGCCGCGCGCACTCGGTCAAAAAAGGTTGCAAGAGCTTCACGGATTGAGGGCGGGTCGGTTTCGAATTGCGACTCTCGCTTCAGCGCCGCGCACGTTCGTTCTAACAAATTCGCAAGAGTTTAACGAATTGAGAGCGGGTCGTTTTAAACGTGTGGTTCTCACCTTAGCGCCGCGCGCATTCGCTGAGAACATTTGCAAGAGATTTGCGGATGGAAGGCGGGTCGTTTTCAAAATGCAGTTCTCGCTTCAACGCCCCGCATATTCGTCCTAAGCTTTTGCAAGAGCTTCACGGATTGAAGGCGGTTTGTTTTCAGAATTTGGCTCTCGCCTTTAACGCCGCGCACATTCGTTCTAAACATTTGCAAGAGTTTCACGGATTGAGGGCGTGCCGTTTTCAACATGTGGTTTTCGCTTTAGTGCCGCGCACATCTTTTTGTAAACATTCGAACGAGGTTCACAGATTGAGGGCAGCTCCTTTTCAAAATGCGGTTCTCGCTTATTAGGGCCTCGCACATTGGTTGTAAATATTTGCAAGTTTCATTGCTTCTCATGCTTAAGGTACAAAGCATGGCGCTTTGGAGCGATTCAGGATTGTCAGGGCGCAACAATTACGCTGGTTCGTGGTGTTGAAAAGTCCCAGAAATGGTATTCTGGCACGATTCAGGATCGCCAAGACGTAACAGTCAGGTTCACTCGTGGTGTCGAAGTCCTGAGATGGTTCTCTGGCACGCTTCAAGATGTTCACACGGCTGTCCCCCAACGGGGCAATTCCCTCAGTGGAATGACCCTTTGCAGGGGCCAATGAAGAGGTATCTTGGAGGGAAGGTGCATTTCAACATGATTGATGGTTCTTGGGTTAAACACTGGTCCTCCTCCTCCTCCTCCTCCTCCTCCTCCTCCTCCTCCTCCTCCTCCTCCGCCTGAATGCGTCAGCGCCCACGCCCGTGTGGGCGGCTCCAGCGGCGGAGGGGCGTAGAGAGACCCGCGCCTTCCGCACGCTGGCCTCCTCCGAGCCCCGCGGGTCCGCCGCCCCTCCAACGGTGCAGTTCCCCCGGAGCGACACGCAAAAGGCGGCCGCTCCCAGGGAGGGGGTGCGCCGGCCCAGGCCTCTATAGTCTGTGCTTCACCTGGCAGCGCCACGGTGAGCCGAACGAGCAGGCAGCCCGCCGCGAGCACGGCCCAGCGCTCCAGGCCGCCACGCCGCCGCCCCCCAGCTGCCCTCCCGCAGCAGCAGCGGCCAGCCAGCCGGCGCGCCAGCCCTCCCGCGTGCGCCGCCGGGCCCGCCAGCCCCCCTGCGCGCTGGCCAGCGTCGCGCCACCGCGGCCAGCCGCCAGCAGGCCGCCGCCCCCCCAGCGCCGCCCCCCGCGGCATCAGCAGCAGCAGCAGCAGCAGCAGCAGCAGCTGCTGCTACGCCGCGCCAGCCAGCGCCCCCGCAACCCCGCGCCTGGGGCCCGAGCCGGGCCAGCGCGGTCAAGCCCAGCAGCCCCACGCAATGCCCGCCCGCGTCAGCAGGCCTTGAGCCCTCAGCGCCCTGCCCGGGGGGCCCACCCGGCTCTGTGGCGCGTGGCCGCTAGCACGGCATCCGCGGCGTGGCGCTGGAGCGCACTGCTCAGCCCTTCGCGGACGCACCTCCGTCGCCTCGGGGACGCACCGAGTCTGCCACGCGCTTGTACCAGAGCGGGAAGAGCTGGTTGGTGAGTGCGCCGCCTTGGTCGCCTCCTCGCTCCTTGGGGAGGAGCGTGCGGCGGCCGTCCCGCGCCAGGTGCACATGCACAGCAGCCGTGCCCAGACCGCTGCGTGCCCACGGCAGCAGCTCCGGGACCATCGCCTGGACGGCCCGCGGAGCAGTTACTCTATCGTACCACTCGTTGTGCGCGTTGCTCGCGCCCAGACTCAGCTTGCAGCGCCCGGGTCGGCTGTCCAGGTCTAGCACGGCCGCCGCGTGCATGTGCTCCGCTCCTTTGTCCTTTCCCACGGAGCACTCGCTGTCGCCGAGGGCGGCCGCCCCCCCTGCTTCGGAACACCGTGCTCACTGACTTTGGAAGCAGCACGGCGGTGGAAGATGCCAAGGGCAACCGGGCAGACCTTGTCTCGCTCCTCCTGGTCCCCTGCCAGGACGCGCGCGCCCAGCCAGGCCTGCACGGCTCCGCGCGTGGCCCGGCCAAGCTGCAAGTTGAGGATCGCCGTGGCGAAGCTGCCGCAGGCGCCGCGGTGCCTCGGAGCGTGGACGCACGCGCGGCGCAGCCGTTCCAGGAGACGGCCGACGTCGTCATCCGTGGGCGGCGTGATGGGCTTGTTTTCCCCCACCACCACCATAAGTTGGAGGGGGGAAGGAGGTAGAGGAGGAGGAGGAGGAGGAGGAGGAGGAGGAGGAGGAGGAGGAGGAGGAGGTCCCCCTTCCCCTCCTGCTCATGGTGGCGGCGGTGGAAAACAAACCCACCATGGGAGGCCGCTCTGGGGCACCGCGGCGAGGCAACTTGCCATCCAGGGCCCGCACCGCCCCTGTGCTGGCCGGGGTCGTGGGGGCCCTCCCCTCCCCCCTTAATTCGTTGCAGGTGGCCTGTCCTGGGCACGGCGCGTCGGCGCCCGCTCGCTCGGTCAGCGCCCGCCGGACAAAAAAAAGGTCTTCGTCCGCCAAGGCCCCTCTCCGATTGCCCTGGCGCCCGCCTCGCCAGGCCCCGCGCTGCTGCGAGCGCCTCGCTGGCGCTGCTGCGCAGGCGGCGCGCCGCCTCCTGCCGGAGGACGTCCCGCGCGACCCCGCCTGGACGAGCCGGACTCCTCCTGGCCGGCGTGCGCCACCGCCTCTCCTCTCTGGCCCTCGGCCCCCCCCCGCCGCCTTCGCGACGCTGCGGGGAGGAGGCGGTCGGAGCGCAGGAGCGCCTTGAGGCCTCGAGGCGCGGCCGCGCCGCCAGCCCCTGTCAAGGTTCGGCAGCGAGCGAGGGGTGAAGTGAAAAGGGGAAGGCCTTCTCAGAAGGCGGCGGGACTTCTCAAAAGCCATCGCGCCTGCTGAGAAGTCTTCCGCGTCGTCGGGGAAGGCTCAGGAAACTGCCCATGAGGCCGGGGCCCTTCCGAGCCTTCTGAGAAGGCCCGCCCCTTCTCACTTCCCCCCCAGGTGCGTCGCCAAAGAAAAAATCGCACAGCACCTTCCTGAAGTCGGCGATGGCGCAGCGGAGCGCCTCCAGGACCACCGAACTGGTGCCGCACTGCTCGCGGAGGCTGTCCCAGCTGACGCCGTCCCAGAACTCCATCCGCCGGAACTCCCGGTGCGGGACCGCCGCATCACACGGCACTTTGCGTTTCCTGCAGGCCGCGCTGACTGCGAGGCCGCCCCGGCCGGCTGCGGCGCCACCCCCACGCCGCATCCCGCGGCCTGCGCGGCATCGACGGCCGCCTGCGCCGCTGCGCGCTTCTCCATGGGCAGCCGTGCCCAGCCTTCAGAGGCCATCTGGCGGCCCGCACTGGCCGGCGGCCCGCATGGCACTGCGCGGTGGAGCACGAGCCCCTGGGCCCCCGCGCCGCACCCGCGGAGCGCGCGCCCGCGCCTCCTCCCAGGCAGGTGTCGCACGTGGCCATGCTCGGTGGCGTGGGCGCTGAGATCGCTCACCCGACGCTCCGCCGCCCCCGGCGCGCCAGCTGGAGCGATCGCTCGGCTGCCGCCCGCGCGCCGGCGCCCCGCGGCGCTTCCGCCGGCCGCTGCAGCGGCCTCCGGCACCTGCGCGTCGGCCTCCGTGGCTCGAGGGCAGGGGGAGGAAGGCGGAGGGGGTGAGCAGTGAAGGGCGGGTGAGCAGGGAGGACCCGGAGCTTCGCCGCCTCCTCCTCCTCCTCCTCCTCCTCCTCCTCCTCCTCCGCCTCCTCCTCCTCCTCCTCCTCCTCCTCCTCCTCCTCCTCCTCCTCCTCCTCCTTCTCATGATATTCCTCCTCATCCTCCTCGTCCTCGTCCTCATCCTGGTCCTGTTTGGGAGCGTCGCGACGCGTGTTGGGTAGCTGCGTTGCGACGCGGTATGTTTTACGCTACTTCTGGTTCTGGCCTTCGGGGTCGGCGGAAAGACATGGCATCGAGGGTCCTTTTCGTCCTCCTCCTCCTCCGCCTGAGCTTCCATATTCATCACACAGTGAAATCCGACCTGTCCTCCACCCCACTGCGGGCGGCTTCGCCCACACACCATCACGAAATCCGAGCTGTTGCTAGCGTCGCCATGAGGCGCCAGCCCGTGCAACAGTAGCTGAGTCACCGAGGCCCACGCTACGGGCGCTCATCCCCCGGTAGACCCGGAATTCCAGGGGTGGAAACCCAGAACCCCGGGGTTCCGGGTTTTTCTTTTCGCACCGAGGTTGCCCCAGATCGAAACCCGGAATTCCGGGGTTCCGGGTTCCGGGGGTCGAGAAGCTTTGGAACTAGATGGGCCCTTTCAGAAGCCGTTTCGTTTCGGAGGCTGCTTCGGAAGCCGTGTCGGAGACCGTTTCGGACGTCGTGTCGGACGCCGTGTCGGACGCCGTGTCGGAAGCCGTTTCGAAGGCCGTTTCGGAAGCCGTTTCGGGAACCGTTCCGGAGGCCGTGTCGGAAGCCGCGTCGGAAGCCGTTTCGGAAGCCGTGCCGGAGGCCTTGTCGCAGGCCGTGTCGAAGGCCGTCTCGGAAACCCGTTCGAAGGCCGTTTCGGAGGCCATTTCGGACGCTGTTTCGCGACATCGTCTTCGTCGACGGCGGCGGCTGCGTCGGCGCCGTGGAAGTCGGCGGCGTCGTACGCGTCGCCGTCGGCGTCGTCCTGATCGCCGTTGTCGGCTTCGTCGGCTTCGGCTTCGGCTTCGGCGTCGTCTGTGTCTGCGTCGGAGTCGCCGGCGTCGTACTACTACTGCTACACTACTACTACTACTACTACTACTACTACTACTACTACTACTACTACTACTACTACTACTACTACTACTACTACTACTACTACTACTACTACTACTACGACTACTACTACTACTACTACTACTACTACTACTACTACTACTACTACTACTACTACTACTATGCTACTACTACTA